ATGTCATATATGATATTTACATTCATAAGTGTTAGTAACCTCACAAAATACGATTACGTTTTGGGCTTTAAATAGTATTTTGAGGAAAGTAAGGAAACATCTTTTATATTCAACCCCATGCAGATGCCCACACAGATCTTTCTCCCGCTTCGTTTCCCATTTCTTGTGGTGCAGGTCTGTTGGTACATTCCATCCGTTTTGGGTTTTTTTAATCTGAAAAAAAATTTTTTTTTCAGATAAAAGGATTATATTTACTAAAAACAGAATTCTAAATTGACAGCCTTCTCTTTTCTTTTAGTGCCGTAAAGCTGTTCTCACACTAACTTCTGACCTCTGTTACTTCCTGTGAGAAATCACTGGCCTTTCACTTGGTCGTCCCTCGTATGTGGTTTGTCTTTCTTTTTCTGACTGCTTCCACGCGTTTCTCTTTTTCTTTGGATTCCAGCAGTTTAAGTAGGATGCGCTTGGGGTGATTTCCGTACTGATCATGCTTAGGCTTCACTGAGCCCCTTCAATCTGAATCTGTCTGTCTGTGACCGTCGTACATTCAGATACTTCTTCTGCTCCGTTTTCTCTCTTCTAAAACTTCAGTTTGTGTGTGTGAAACATTTTGAGAGAACCCTTCAGGTCCCAGAGGCTGTTATTTTCCCCTCTCCACCCCAATCTTTTCTCTCTCACTCCTTCAAATCGGGTAATTTTTATCGATTTATTTCAAATTCCCTGTCTCTGTCATCTTCGTCTCCCCTTCCCTGATCCTGTGGAGATTTAATTTCAGATATCGTATTTTTCATTATAGAATTTTCATTTGTCTCATTTTTTACAGTTTTTATTTCTGTTGATATTTTCTATCTTTTCATTAATTATGAACAAATTTTTCTTTATGTCCTTGAATATAATAGCTCTTTAAAGTCCTTGCCTGCTAATTCCAACTTCCGAGTCATCTTTGGAGTCAGCCTCCTTTAGATTTGTTTTCCTCTTGAGAATGGATCGTGTGTGTGTGTGTGTGTGTCAAGTAATTTAAATTGTCCTGGACAATGTGACTCTTTATTCAATTAAAGTTCTCTGAAGAGTGGTTGGTTGATTGGTTTTAACGGGTAGTTAACTTGACTGGTCTCAGATTGCAGACTCTCCATGCTGCGGGCAGCATCACGTTACAGGTCAGTTCTTAGCCTTAGGTGGCTGCTGGGAGCCTACCTTCCCTGTGCGTGGCTTCGCGGTCAGCTAGAGACGTGGGCGGAGTTTATGCTCAGACTTTGCAGAGCCCCCTCCCCGGCTCCCTTCTTCGTGAGGGTTCCTCGCTCGCTTTCCACCAGCCATGGTGGCCCAGCAGTCATCTGGCTCTTCACACCCGCAAGACTGGGGTCTGCTTCTGCCAGCGACCATTATAGTGTGGTCTCCTCCCGTAGTGCCCACTCCCCCAGACTCTGGAAGCTTTGGGTTGTCCCCCTGCTCTCACAGAGCTACTTCTGAAGTCCATAGTCCAAAGGTGCTGTCCGCTAGAGGGCTGGTCACAAAGAAGCTACTTGAACTTGCCAGAAATACAGCGAGGTCACCATTCTAAAGTAACGTTTTGTAGAAATCATTTTTTTATTAATAATTTTGAGATGAGGAACACCACCACCGAACAAAAGGGCATAATTTCCTACAGTTTGAGATGTAATAAGAGAGAAACGCGGTTTCAGCGTAATCCATAAAACTGGACGCCTGTGTGTAAGAGAAGCCGCGGAGGCATGATGCTGGAACTGCCGCCAGGACAGCAAGCCCTGGGGCAGACCCTTACGGACACGGCGGGAGGCATGATGCTGGAACTGCCGCCGGGACAGCAAGCCCTGGGACAGACCCTTACAGACACGCGGCCCCCGTTTCGTCTGTCTCCAGCCCTGTTTTCTGCAGAGATACCAAGGGTTTTGTTGTTGTTGTCGTCGTCGTTAGAGGTTGGTTCCATTCCTTTGTGCTGAGGCAATGTTGGGTAATTATAAGAGATCGCGTTTCAAAGCTGGTATTCCCATGAACTTGCCAGAACGAGCCATTTCCCTCTTGGCTTCTTTCCCTCCCAATTTCTTGCTGCCGTTTCTGTGGATATCTTTCAGATTAGTCTAAGTAGCTACAAACCCAGACGATTTTATATCTAAAGCAAATTTTGTGATGTCACCATAAAATTATGATGTTTAGGTGAACAAAGTTCCACCTTTTCAAAAAACAGTTTTTCGGGCAAAGAGTATTTCTTACATTTAAAGAAGAAAGGTGTTCAGTTTAAAAGAAAAGCATAGTAGCATGGCCATTCAGGAAGAATGCTACGCGAGGGAAACGGGTTAGAAATTGTTTCTCCCTAGGAGTATACGACGCAGGTAACGTTGCAGAACTGGCTCGCGTTTACTTCAGGGTTTTACTCTTTTTTTCACATATTTAATTTTTCCATCCAACAGTAGAAAGGACAGACAGTATTCCATTCATGAATGAGGTAACAAGTTGAAATAGGCCAGACTGCCTGTGTCACCTACCTCAGCAGAGACGCAGCCCCTAGCTGTGCCCTGTCTCCTGGGACCGCGCGACGGGCTTATCAGCCACTCAGGCCGATGGCCCTTTTCACTCTCACCCTCGTTTGTGCTGGAGGCTCGTGTTTGTGGCTTAGCTCAGTACTGGAGACAAGGGGCCCATCAGACCACTTTCTTGGTCTCCGTGAAAATACCTTAGGAGCGAGGTCACATTTTATTGCTCCAAACGGAAATGTAAATGTAGTAAGACGTCTCCATCCCCACTCGCAGAGGCTGTGAGACCTGGTTTCGGGGAGCGCTGTGAGCCAGGCCAGGCCAGGCAAGCGGAGCGACCCTTCCAACTGCTGATGGCCTTTTACTCTGAATTGGGTTCTTTGATGACTTTTTCTCCTAAAGCAAGAGAAGTAAAAAATGAAGCTAGAATTAAATGAAGGAATCCTTTTCTCCTCTTCAGAGTTCTCCCTAGATCAGATTTGTAGATAAAGACATGATTGTCACATGTTCTGTTTGTTTAATGAAAAGTCTTAGCTTTTGTTGTTTCGTCTGCTTGCAAGTTTGAGACTTAGAAACCAGCATCCCAGGAAAAAGCATGAGGGCTCATGGCCAGTTCACATTAGGCAGCTACAGGCTTTCAAGTGGAACATGTCGCTACTAAAAATACTTGTAGTTTGGGAAAATATGTTTGAATCTGACCTCCTCGACACTCCGCACATTCTAGTTTATTGCTCTTGGTTCTCCAGCAGCTGGAAAGGGAAACGTCAGAGACGTCTTCCTGTGCACGCTCAACTCCGGGTGTGGGGTAGTCTTCCCGCTGTGAAAACAGCCGTCTGCGAGTTCTTTATGCTCGGACTACTTTGAGCGGTCAGCTCTGCTTTCTCAGAAGCGTTCGGACGTGAGACGAGAGGGACTCGCTGCCCGGCCAGCGCTGTGCTCTTTGAGAGACGAGCCTGGCGCTTCCGTGGCAGAAACATGGAAGTCCCTGTCACATGCAGATGCTGTGCAGCTGACGAGAAATCGGATCCAAGTCCGATGAGCCTGGGAAGCTTACGGCCCAAACCCATTAAGCAGAGAAATAACATAGATAGTGGTGTGTGACGAACAGCCAAAGTGAATGATTCAGACAGGAAATTCAGGGGGTCGGAGAGTGAGTGTGGGTGGACGGAGCCGGAGAGGCTCTCCGTATGGCCAGGGACCTCATGTGACCCATTTGGAGAGGATTCTATGGGGAACAGCAGCCTTAAGATCAGGGTGGCCCGTTTCACAAAGCAACGCGTGTGCAACGCACTGCCTCGGCGGGGCCGGCGAAAAACGGAGGCTTCGTCGCCTCAAAGGCCGTGTCACGCTCGGCCTTGTCATAGCTTGTCTGGATTTTCATTATTCGAAGAAGCTGAAAAAAAAGGACAGTATTTTTTTTTTACTTGATTTTTATGCACTTTACAGTTGTTTGAAACTATAAAATTTTTGGAAATTTTGATTCAGGGTCTGTGGGTCAGGTAGTTGGGCCAGTGGTCCCGGGCCAGGCTCCTGCTCCCAGTGGCCACCTCGAAGGGAACGGCCTGCAGCCCTTCTCCGTTGAGTACAGGAGGCTGGGTGACGGGCTGTGACGGGCTCGTCGCCAGTCAGTGGGTGCAGTCTCGACTGTGGCTTCGCTCATCCGTGCGCCGTCAGCGTTAACGCAGAACGTGACCCAGGATCGGTACTGTTCGGAGCGTGTGGGGATGGGCCGTCAGGTCGCAGCCCTCGGCCTCGTGGCGGCACGGGTCAGGTGCACCGTCGCTGACAGCACGTATTAGCCAGTTCCGGCGTCCGGCCCGGGGCCAGCTGCTCAGCAGCGCGGCATGGCACGCACCTCGCCAGTCTCGACAGTGACTCTGAATTCTCGAGTGTTGTGGAAGTTTCATGCTGTTTTCTCGGTCACGATCATCCCGCTGGAGCTAGGAGAAAACCAAGATCATGTTTTCAGGAAGGGAGTGGAGTCTTTTGACTGAAAGCTTTTCTCTGATGTGCTAATGTGATCACGGAGGAACCGGTCCCTTTCCTTTAAAAAAAAAAAAAAGCCGCCTCCCGTCTGTAGTAATGGTTTGCTGACTCAGGGCAGTCGAGAAACGGATCTTGTCTGCTTTTCCTGATTTAGAAGGTGATTGCGTGAGTCGGGCTGTGTGAGAACGGCCCGCCCCAATCTCCAGTCGGGCAGGAATGTCCGCTTGAAACAGTCGAGCGCATTCCCAGATTGGAAGGGGTCCGGGGCGGCTGACCTCACTCTCATGAGTAATTCTGGGTGGCTGTGCGCTGCACCGGGAGGCTCGGCGCTGAATGAGCTGCATTATTAGGACTGCGAGCGGCGGGCGTGTAGGAGGGAGCCGCTGGCCACGGTGGGGAGGAAGGTCCCCGGGACCGGCCGCCCGCGGAGCCGCAGGGAGCCCGAGTGGAATGGGCACTTAGCGGGGGCTCGCTCTGGCCGCCCTCTGGGCAGTGTCTGTGATGGCAGGCGGCCAAGACTGAGAGGCCGGCGGCAGCCCCGAGCCGCGGGACATGTGGGGCGGCAGGCGGCCCCCGGCGGAGCGGCGGTGAGTAGCGGGCTATGCCGAGCGCCCCCCGGGGGAGGGCGGCGCGTCGCAGACGCAGCGGTCGGCGCTGTGGCGTATCGGCTCGTTTTCCTGGGGAGGTAAAGTCCTGCTCGAGCTGAACAGAGGGGGACCGTAGTGAGCAGTTTAGGGAGGTCGACTGCCCATGGTGCTGACTTGTCCCCTAACGGCCGGTGTCCCGTTGTGGGGGGCCCGCGTCCACGTGCACCCTGCCCTGAGACACGTCTGTGCTCGACGAAGTGCCGGGTGGTTCCGTCCCGCTCCAAGTAAACGTGGGCGTGCACGCTTTCCGTCCCGCTCGTCTGATTGTCCCCGACGCGTCCTCGTCTGCCCAGCCGTCCTCTCCCCTGGGCTGTGCTGCGGATGGACTTGCCTTTGGGGCCGAGGCCGTTCCCGGGTCATTTGGTGGCGGCTCAGAGAGGAGCCTCTTCCCATTCTTGACTGGGATCGCGCGCCGGCAGCCAGCTGGCGCTCCTGAGACGGGCCGGGCGTGTCGCGTGTGTGCCACCCCCACCCCCGGCTGTCGCCCCTCACGTCGTGTGTTCTCTCTCTAGCACGATCCTGGAGGAGGAGAAGGCTCAGCAAGAGGAGCGGATGCGGATGGAGTCCCGCAGACAGGTCGCGGTGTCCTGGGACTCCGGAGGATCCGACGAGGCACCGCCCAAGGTAGCGAGGGCCCCGGCCTGCCTCAGACCCCTGCCCCACCGGCTGAGGTGGCGGGGCAAGTGCAGATCATGCGAAAAGCAGTCGCTGTCAAACTCCTCTTTCTCCACTGCTTCTCTGCGGGGCCCCTCCTGTGCACTTGTTTTCCTAATTTGCATTTCACCTGTTCTAAACCGAGGGTGACTGGATTCGATACAACCTTAAATTGCTCTTCCTGGTCTCCCTCCCTCCCCCCATCCCCTCCACATTTGCTTTATTTTAAAGTGGGTCAAAGTTCACCTGACCGTGTTCCTTTGGGTTTGGTTTTGTTTTATGGAGAACCTTGTGCGCATTTTCTGCCTCCTTCTGCCTGTGGCCCTGGCCGGGGTGTTGGCGTGGGCCTTCCTGTGCCATGCTCAGGCCTCGCCCGCCCACTCACTGCACATCCTTGACCTTCACTCTTCCGGCCGGGAGGTGGCCCAGCTTTCCCTGCTGCCTGGCTCTGCTGTGCCGGGGACTGGGACGTAGTTGGCCCGTCAACACTCTCCTTAGGTCAGGGGTCCCCAACCCCCAGGCGGTGGACCAACACCGGTCCCTGGCCTGTTGGGAACCGGGCCACACAGCAGGAGGGGAGCGGCGGGCCAGCGAGCGAAGCTTCATCTGTACTTGCAGCCGCTCCCCAGCGCCGGCATCACGGCCTCGGCTCCGCCTCAGATCCTCAGGTGTTAGATTCTCACAGGAGCACTGGTCCCTAGTGCCACACAGATTGGGGACCGCTGCCTTGGATTAAGAATTCTTTGTACCCCTCTGGCTTTTGACAGGATGCTGCTATTTTCACATACCAGCTTAGTTGCCATGAATAATCAATCCAGTCAGATCATTTTCTAGAAAGTAAGTATGTCGTAGACTATTTTGGCAGTTAATAGTTACCTGCTATTTGGTCTTTGATTAGCTAAAAATATATTAAGAAACTTCGAAAATTCTTCAATTTTTGAAAAATGTTCAGAAATCTGTTAGTGGAGGTGCTATTTAAATATCGTACCCATTTTTTTATCATCATGCCTGAAAGCTGCTATTTTCTTGGTCAGTGTTTTAAATTCTGTAACAGTGACCTAATATTATCACACGTTTAATGTGAAAACAGGTGATTGATACAGTTTTTCAGAATTTCAGAGGCAAAGGGTTCTGTAGTCCAACCTCCTCAGCAAGTAGAAAAACCGAGGCCCAGAGAGGGAAGGCCACGTCCTCTGTCCAGCGGACATCGCTTTGAGTGAGTTAGCGACGAAAGCAAAACACTTCTCCACAGAAAAACGACGGAGCCCACATCCCAGCCCCTAAGGCCTCCCCTTTGTGCGTGTGGGTTGGCGTGTTTCTCGAGCTCGGTGACAGCTCGGCATAGTCCAGCTCTGGGGGCGGGGTCTCGAAGGTGGTTCCTCAGGCCCGGAAGGCCCGTGGGTCTGTTCACATCGGGCTCTGAAGCCTGGGCGAGTCGCTGCCTGTTCCCGGCCTCACTTTCCTGTGTGTGGAATGAGGGTATTACCCCGCCCCCTGCTAGGGCGTTGCAGGTAGTGAGCGAGAGAATGCGTTCACAGCAGCTCGTTTAGTCACAGGAGTGAGGAAAGGTTTCACGCAGAGTTGGTGGTGGGCACCCAGTAATGCAGCACTCCCCTAAAACTCACAGAATTAAAGAACTTTTCCATCCAAGCGTTTTTATGTATCTCAAGCTGTAAAATTTTTAATAGTTTTCATTTGGCTAAGTTTTGAAAGCTATAGCATTAGGGTCGTGGGTAGGGGCGGCTAGGCCTTTTTGTTTGTTTTAGAGGTCAGAGATGGGATTTTTAAATAGCCTCACATTTCTTTATTTTTTTGAGATGTTTTCAAAGTGCACATTTGCAGGTTCTTTCTGCAATCGGATTGTTCTACTTTTTGAAAAAGCGGTCAGCAAGCTATAGCCCACTGCCTATTTTTGTTAAAATTTGAGTGGAATGAATTATACCTTCGTTTGTGATTGTCCGTGGCTGGTGTCACTTACACGGACAGAGTTGAGTAGTCCAGTAACAGTCTGGCCCACAAAGATTAAAATATTTCCTCTTTGATCCTTTAAGCAAAAGCTTGGCAAACCCTGGCTTAAAAGTTTTAGTGGCTAGAGGATCATCGCTCGATGATTACGAGATGATTGATGGCTCCTTGCCAGTCAGGACCGAGTCCTGTGAGCCCGGCTCCTTCTCCTTGCTCACCCGCAGAGCCGTGTCCTGCTTTCAGGGCCCAGCGTTCCACAGTCAAAAAGGGGCCCGTGTCCCCCGCGCAGTCCCCTCTGCCCCCTGCGGGGTCCTGCGATTCTGCCTCTGCCTTTGGACAACTAAATTCCACTTGGATTTCTTCAGTTCAGGTAGGATCTCAGCCTGTTGTAGGTAAATTTCGAGTACTAATAAAATTCGTAATGTAGTTTAATTCGTTTTTTTAAAGGGAGAAATGTTCTTGTCACCCATTCAAAATTCAAAATTAAAAGCTTAATTATAGTTACTCAGTAGCTAAAGCATTATAACCACAAAGCTGATTATGACAACTATGTTACGGATCTCTTCATCAGTCCTTGCTGCTCACCTGGAGAGGTTTGCCTGTGACCGGCCCCGGCCCGGGGCATCTGGGGAGTCCCTTTGAGGGCTCATTCATCCGCCCTCCCGATTCCCATGGGATCAGCAGAGCTCAGGATAGAATCACCTCGGACCTCAGGGCGTCCCCACGGCCATTTCCGAGGGCCGTGCGACCAGAGCCCGTCGAGCCGTCCTTCGCCCGTGCACGGCGCTGACGTCTGCGCTGATGCTGCGGGCTTCGCGGCGGGGGAAGCGCTGTCACCTCCGCAGAGCTGGGGAGCCGCACACGCCACGCCAGCCGGCGCTGTGTGCTTCCCCACCGTGCTCACGCGACCAGAGAAGACGCCAGTGCGCCTAAGGGTGACCGGGAAGCCGCGGAGTCATCGTGTGAGGGCCTGGGAGGAGCGCACGCTGCACTCACCGTGCGGCCGAGGTGCGGGCTGGACTCGCCGCTTCTTCCTGGAAGAGGAAGGAGCTCACGGACGCTGCGGGGTTCAGAGCCGGTGTCTGGCAGCCGGTTGCTCAGGAGAGCAGCGAGACTGTCCCATCAAGGAAAACAGCTGGTGGTGTTTGCTGCCAGTGACAAAATTTGAGTTTTCAAGCAAAAACTTAAATATTGAAAAACTCACATCCGTCACCATGGCCTTGATAGTTGAGACTTTTTTTCAGATGAGTGCCGGGTGACATTAACGTTGTGTACCGAAGCGTGTCGACACTGGGAGGGGCTGCGTAACCGGTGGCCCATACTCCCCGAGTAACGCAGGAGGCTGAGTCCCACGCGGGCAGACCCAGTCCCTTCACGGCCCAGTGGGCCGATCTCAGCGGCGCGGAGCGATGCAGTTTCGGCTTCATGTGGCAGTTGCCACTGAGAGCCACCGCCTGTTGATTTGGGTTGTGGTATCAAAAATTAACACAGCACACAGTTGTGCGGAGAGGCCCTTTCCAGCCGCGTAGCTGCCTGAGGCTGGAGCCCTGCGCCCCGCAACCGGACATGCCAGGCCGACTGGCTGCAGGGACGCACGTGAGAGCGCCAGCCTCTAGCAAGCCTGGCGTGACAGTCGCACCGTGCAAGGGCGCCACCTCTGTCAGTGGTATCTTTTTGGGGGGGTTCGAACAACAGTATTTTCTAAAACATGTAATTAGTTTATTTTTAAGTGTCTGTTTTAATATCTAATAATATAAATATTGGTAGATGTATTCCAGACACACAAAGCTCTTGAGGTCATCACTTGTTTTGGGGAGTGTAAAGGGATCCCGAAAATAAGTACGAGAGTAGGTGCCTCAACAGAGTTTCTCAACCCAGCACCCCGTTTCAATAAAAAAATATTTGATCATGTCCCATTTCTAATCCTGAAATGAAATGCGTAGGTGATAAAGTTACTGATTTCAAAATGTCAGTCCTGCCAGAACACCGTTCAGGAGAAAAGGAAATTTCCGTGACGTCGTGCAGCCTCTTGTGTAAAGTGGTCAGGCGTGATGGCACCAGGAGGCCCGGTGGGTGGCCGGGGGCTCGCACCTGTGGGGCAGACTCAGCGTGAATACGACAGCCACAGCTGCCCAGCTGCGACTGAATGCAAATCTCATTAGTCTTGGCGACAGGATTTTCTTGGTAAAGTTCAAACCAAACAAAGTAAAACTGCCCATCTGTATGCACAGGAGTTGGTGTTCTGGAAAGTCCAGTGTCTGATAAACTGCAGAGTGTGATGCGTGTCCCGTGTCCGTCAGAGCTGGCTCTGGGTTCCGATCACAGGACTTCGTCGTCGTTGTCCCTGCATGCTGCCGAGAGAGACATCGGGCAGTGGAGCGGGCCCTGCAGATCGGACTGTCTCACGAGCCCGCCCGCCCGCCACCCCAGGCGCCCACCATCGTGGCCATCAGAAGCAGCCTCTCGGATACCGTAGCCGCCCGTCAGGAGCACTGCCACCCACCGCGTGTTTGGGACATGTCAGCTTTTCCTTTCTCTTCCTCCTCACCCGGGGATGTCAGC